CAAATGGTCTGGAGCAACGACGTGCACAGGCAAAAAAAATAAACTTCGACCTCGACCTCACTCTGCACAGACGTTCTGTGCTGGGAGGCGTCCTTGCTGCAGTCAGGCCTCTGCGACCTGTGGGCCTCTGCCAGTACTTCAGGGTCTCTGGGTCCAGCTATAGAGCTAACCATTGGGCCCCAGGCAGTGAGGAGGGTCCAGCCTGCTGAATTCCTGGCGAGGAGTGCCCCAGACCCCTCTGTCCACCTCTACTTGCCCTGAGATGATAAACAGTTGCCACCAGGCTACTCCACTTTCCACCATGTTTTCCTCAAGAATGCGCAATTCGTAGGTGTCATTTGCTGGAACAGGTGGGGCTGGACTGAAGGCCCCCTCAACCTAAACCCTAGAAGGCAGTGGGCTGCTGTGGTCACCCTGTGATGGGGGCCTGGGACACACTGAGCCCGGGGGTGGCCCCTGGGAAGGTCATCAGATACCACCACTCAGACTCCTGATGGCTCTCCTGCAACCCAGCGGGGTCCTCCCACAAGGATGGCCCCTTCCTCTTTCTCTTGGATATTAACTAAGTATTGGGGGAAAAGGGACAGAGAGTCCTGAGACTATAATCGCGATCCTTTGTGGATCTCATGAGTTATCTGACTTTGATCTCCAAATAAACCAGCTGCATGAGACCACCTGGGGCCCTCAGGAAGGTGGCTCTCCGGAAATGCCCAGCCCTGCCCATGTGCTCCCTCTGCTGCTGGGGGTCATCTGCTTTTCTGACATCTGGGGCCACCTGTCCCGCCCCCAGCTCTGCACTGTGGCTCCCACCCTCTGGGTCTGGGGATCTGACATTTCACATGCGTCCTTCAGTGCCCTCATGGACGCGACTTCCTCCACCCAGCCTCCCCCTCGCAAGCCCCCTGCCCAGCCCACCTCCACCCGAGAGAGGAGCTGTGGGAACACTGGCCTGGTAGGTGCAACTGCGGCTCCAAAAGGGATCCCAGACTGAGCAGTGCTCTTCTTCAAACCCAAACCCTCAAGTGAGAGAGAAAGGGCCCTGGGGACAGAGGGACAAAGCCCCCAGGGAGGGCATGTGGGCTCACAGGTAGACTGACGTCCTGGATACAGGTGAGGGAAGAGATGTGGACAATCTGTGCTACTTAAGAAAGGCCGTAGCGAATCCCACCCCCTTAAAGAATAAAAAATGGAGGGAGGGGAATGGAAGAGAAGTGGGAAAGACGAGGAGGAGAAGGGACAGCCCTGAGAGAGAGAAACTTTTCACCTCAAATACTGCAGGGCGAGGTTACCTGGCGTGCTGGAGCCAGCAGTGGCGTTTGGGTCCTCGAAGCTGGACTCGGCCACCTGGTGATCTCGACTTGTCACCTACAACCACAGAAATCAAGCATCAAGGCAGGTCATCAGCAGGACTCAGGACACGGCGCCACAGCCACCAGGAGTACAGGAGGGCTTCAAAGCTCGCCTCCTACTGAGAAGTGCCGAGAGACACGTATGCACGTTTCCTCCACTCTCCCCTACAGTTATGGGGGGCAGGAGGAAGCACTGGAACTGCCCTGGCTAAGGCCGAAGCCCGTTTCTCAAACCTTTTGTGATCCAAGTGCCTGCCAGGGCCTTGGTGCTGCCCTGAGCCTACTAACTTCCCACTCGTGGGCGCTGTTTAGGACTGGCAAAAGCCACAGAGGACCCTCCAGAGTCACCGCATAGGCCAGCCCCTGCCCTCACGTCCAGCCTCCCACTCTCAAGCCCTCTCTCTCCTCCTGGCTTCCACTCCAGGAAGAATAAGGCCACAGGGGCAAAGGGCTGTGAGACCTGTGCTGCCTGTGCCCACACAGTTTGGACACAGGCTGGGCTTTTAAGAAATGGGCATGGCCTGAGCAAGCTCCCGAACTCCCTGGAGCTTCCACGGGCTCTCTCTTCCCTTTCATCTCCTGCAGAGTGGACTGAGGGGCTGCTCCTAAGGCCACCCTCCCCGCTTGAGCTCGGGCTCAGGGTCTGGGTCTATACAGTATTCCATCGGGATGTGGGCCACGCAGCTGCAGGCACACGCTTAGATGCCATCCTGTCCTAGTGGACTGGGTAGCTGTGGAGCTTGCACTGAGTTCGAGAGTCCTCACCCGGTCCATCCTCTGTGCAGCATGGTTTTCACCTTGGTGGGCACAGTTGTGCCATCTCTGCTTTAGGGCCCCATGGTCCCCCATGGGCCCTGTGAGTGAATGTGATGACACTATCCACACGTGGCACGGGCACTGCCTTGCACCCCATGTGATCTCAAAAACCAATTTCTGGATCCTTGTGTTATTTCAGAATTGCTTCGGGGACATGCTTTGTAAATAATGAGCTCCAGAGGAGGCTGGGGAAGACGAGGCGGGCCCCTGCGGCTTGGTCCGATTTCAGCCCAGGTAATTACATTTCTGCCTCCCTTGTGTCCCCACTTCAATCAGATGGCTGCTATTCCTTGGCTCTCCTCTCTAACGCGGGCTGGTGCTGGGCAGGTTCTCAGGCCCAGCCTTCGTGCCAGCACCAGGGTGTGAGCTGCTCCTGCTGCAGGGTCCATGAGGGGTTCTGAGAGACAGGGAGGACCGGGCACTGCCTAAGTGTCTCTTCTGACCCCACTCCTATGCCTTAGAATAACCATTTCCGTGCTACTTCTCTCCCTTGACTCTCTCCTGTGGGGAGGGGTCGGGGGGGACAGTTCGTGCCACCATGGGCACACACCATTCTCACTACAAACATTATGTGCCAATAATCAATTCTGGAGACCTATCAAAAATCTTCCACTAAATCACACAAAAAAGAGCAGGTGCCCTAAAGGTTTGTTTCATTCCATACTCTCTTCCCATATTGAACTTTCTATTTGACTTTGGGTAGTGGGGTACCTAGAAAACTGCTGCCTAAAAAAAAGAATCTTCTGGTAATAAAGAAATATAAAAAATAACAAGAGAAATAAAACACACAGTGGGATGAGGTCAGGAGGAAACTGGATTTGTTTCATATTTGGCAGAAGCATCCCTCACTTGCCTCTGGCTCCAGGTCAAATCTAGTTTCGCGAGGAGACAGCTCCTGGGAGCGCATCTATCACCTCTCACCAGAGGGGTGCCAAGGTTTAATCTGAATGTGGCCTTCCCTGATGTCAGAAGCCACCTCGCCATACTAAAGCTGTGCAGAAAACAGCTGCTCCGTTCACACAGCATTTCTGATGAACTAACTATAAAGGCAGCAGGAAAGGGTGAGGTGAAATGTATCCTGGGCATAGAATTTAAGTTGAAACATGAGTTCAGCAACAAAGGCTCATGAGCAAAGCGCCTCACAGGGGCAGGGGCAGGGCTGCGGCAAGGAGGGGCTGCAGGTGTGCTCTACCCAGGCCTTACCGACTCTCCACACGCTGTTTTTTTTTTTTTTCTCTTTTTTGTCTTTTTTTACTGACCAGTAACGGGATCGCAACCCTCAGTGTTGCGTCCGTACGGGGGACCGGCAACGGGATTGCAACCCTTGGTGTTGCGCCCGCACCGCGCTCAGCCAGTGAGCGGGAACCAGTCTCCACATGGGATCCGANATGAATGGAGAGACAGGCTGTGTTTGCGCAACTGCAGGCTGAGCGCAGGAAAGACACCGCTCCTCTCCAAATTGCTTTATATGTTTACTGTGATTCTCATCAAAATCCAAGCAAAGGGTTTTGAAGACAGATAAGCTTATTCTAAAGTGTATATGGAAAGGCACAGGCCCTAGAATAGCCAAACCATTACGCTCCTGATGTTAAGCCTCACTCTAGGACTACAGTCATCAGGACAGTGGGGTGTTGGCAGAGGGACAGGCACAGGGGCCAGTGGAACAAAACAGAGAGCCCAGGAATAGACCCACACAATTATGCCCCACTGGTTTTTGACAGAAGTGCAAAAGTGACAAATGGTCTGGAGCAACGACGTGCACAGGCAAAAAAAATAAACTTCGACCTCGACCTCAC